AATTGCAGCGTGAAAATTAATTACATGTCAGAAATAAAAGATCTAATATTAGAGTCAGTGATATGAAATATTATTTTCAAATTGTTGAACCGTGTCAAGCAAGACTAAGGGGCGCGTTGAGGCTTTTTAGGGGGAGAATCGGCGAGTTAGAAATGAGTGAAGGAGTCTAGAGAAAATGGGGGCGACGCGGGAGGGGTTCTAGGTAACCTCGAGCAGATGAGATAGGATTGAATGGACGTCTCGAAGGCGTGGAATAAGGTGGCGAACAAAGAAAAAAAAAAGAGAAAAGTGAAGACAGTGGCGAGAAAAGGAAGAAACCGCGATAGATGTGGAATCAAGGGTGAGAGAAGAAAAGAGAGAGAGAGAGAGAGAGAGAGAAAGGAGTACGGAAGAATACACGCGCGATGAGACGAGACCGGATGAGATGAGATGATAGTGTTGTGCATGTAGCGCGTGCGCGTACTGACTCAATAAACATCCGCGAAAGCCTTTGGTAAGACCCGAGCCGCGCTCTGGATTACCGACGCTACTTTCCTTTATTTTTCCGGATGCAGTGTGCCCACCCGTTTCACTCTCTTTACCCGTTTCCTTCTCTCCGTCCTTTCCTCTTTACCCACATCACCTTCGTCGCGTTTCTTCTCTCTGATGGTTTTTCTCTTCCTCACCCGTCATCATCCTCTCTACCTTTCTCTCTTTTGCTCGCGCACGTCATATCGCCCTCCCGTGTTCACCGTCGTCTTTCTCGCCTATCTCTTCTTTTCCTTTTTTTTCTCTCGACCCGTCTCCATCGCGCACGATTTTCTTTCCGGGCAGAATAAAAGGAAACTCGTCACTCTCCAAACTATCTTCATCTCCGAATTGTTGCCCTCCCGGGCTGAAATGGAAACTGCTCTGGCGTTCTATTCTCAGTTCCTGCTCGCAAAACCGAGCTTCCAGATAATCCAGTGATCTGTCTCGTAATCATGAGCTACCAGTCGTCGTTAGTTGGATACGGACAAAAGTCATGCTCGACGAAACTTATGTTAGTTTCGAAGTGTGATGACTCATATGCGCAAATAAATAAATTACTAGTATCAACTTTTTATATAATGATTATAAAAATTATACAGGAGCGAGTGTATAGAGCGTTCTTTTTCGCTGCGACACACCACCAAAACAAAAGTTCACACAATCTATCAGATTTTAGAATATTATTTAATTTTAATAAGAAAATTTTAATTAGAATTATTACATCGATATCTATTTCACAGATAGATCAATTCAAAAATATAATATGTGTGTTTTTATACATAAATAAATTTTCTCTTGAAGTTAGAAAATTTTTATTACTTTTATTTTGAATTTATTGCAGATTTTTCTTCAATGTTCAACATACACATATTATGTCCATTAAAATTCCAACTCGATCGAACAATCGAAAACTAAGATTGGTCGATTTAGGACATCTTGTTGAAGTCTGTGATATAAATCGAGGACTGTATATATATATATATATATATATACACACGAACGTACTGGGCGAGCAAACGATTTCCCTTCGGGGCGCAAAGCCGATAATCGATGAATCGAGCCGCGTTTAATCATTCTTTCGAGCGAACAAGCGAGCAGGCGAGCGAGCGGACGGTTTTTAGCGCGAGCGAAACGCCGGGGCGAAAGACAACGAAGAGTGCCGCCTAAAACCGATAATTGGCGACCGAGATTAACGTTTCTGTTGTCTCTGACGACGGAATAATGTGTACACTCGTACCAGCTCGCTCGTTCTGCCATCAGCTCTTTTGCCGTGTGACTGCCATTAAAATCTCGGAAAGCAACGAAGCGCTCTCAGAGCTTGCGACCGTAGCCGAGCTACCGGCGAATAGGTACATAAAACCGCTTTTACGGTAGAGAGATTAGCCCGGCGGATTTCGGCGCGATCGCGAGCGATTATGCGCCTTATAATATTTTAGTACTGACGATTAAAGGATTGGCTTCGCAGCTGATTCGCGATACCTCTTTGCGAAACACCGACGAATCTCGACAAGATGCTTCCCTACCGAATAATTCGAGAATACAAATGTAATATCTGTGATCGCTGTGTGTGACAATGAAGTAATATAATCGTTTGATATATCTACACCGAAAAAATTGTATTCTTATTTTGAGGATATCCCACTTACTTTAAGTATATTTTATACTAAAATAGGCGCCAAGAAGAGTTTCTTATTTTAAGAGGAAAATCCTCTAAATAGTAATAATATTGATAAGAATATATACTGATTAGAATATAAAAAGCCTCTATAGAAAAACATATATATCTCACTATCGAAAAAGACTATATTCTTAAATTAATAATATATTCTTAAATAA